TATTGTATCTTTTTTGGGTTTCTTTATTTTGGTAACTTTTTTTGGTTTCTTTGTTGAGTTCTTTCTTACTAGCTACCTCCTGTTGCCTTTTTAATAAGTGGGTAGGAAATGTATCTTTGTCTTCAAATTTATCTTTCTTTGGCAAAAGTAAGTAAAAGAAAGAATGAGTGAGAAAACTGTTATAATCAATGTAGAAACATACAATCAATTAAGAATAAAAATAAAAAAATATATTAAATTGTTAGACATCCCAAAGTATAACTTATAAAAAATCAGACCTATTAAAAAATTGTAACTTACAAAAAAGGATTCGAGGGAGTATTTTTCTTTTTCTTTGAACTTTATTGTTATCGCTTGGGACTCAGGGTCAACTGCTTGACCAGCCTTGGTTGTTATAATTCACAAGCCTTTGGAAATAAAACTTCTATTTGCATTAAATACTTTATTATTATAACACAGATTGATAACTCATTTTGACCGCTGAATACAAAATTAAATTTATTGAACCACCTTTTATTAATAGCATATTTCTATCAAATTTAGATTGTGGTCGTTTGCATGAGGTCACTGTGATGTAGTACTGCATTGCTCGGGCGTCATGCTCCAATAAATCAGAGAAAATGACAGTGAGGGACAAATAATGACGATTAAAGACCCTAAAATTTGTTATTTTTTAAAAATCTTTTTGACCAAAAAGAATAGTATTTCCACTAAAACACAAAGAAATACAAAAAATTCAAATTTTAATAGTTAAGATCATTGAGAATAAATAGTTTCTACACTTGTCTTGTGAATAATTTTCTCCTACTTTTAAAGGATCCTTCAAAGTTTATATATAGTACCGAATCCTAAATATCACAGTTGGATAAAAATTTATTTGGTGGGAAAAAAAAAGATAAGAAATTCATTTTGGTTCAAAATATAAGACGATAATTTACTCTATTTTGTGTAATTGCTAAATTTTTTTCTTCAAAGTATCCCTATCAATGGTATATAGTAAGAATGTTTCTATAATGAACATGATTAAAATGATATTATAGAAAAATTAATGTACATTAATTACAAATAATTAATTTAACTAATTTTTTAAATATCCACAAACTAATTTTTCTTGCCAGAGAAATTAATATCTTAACTTTTATTTTAAGAAACAAAGGAAATACATCGGATGGAAGGGTTTTTTTTTTTTAGCTTTTTAGTGCTTTATTTTACATTATAAAACATTTATTTAGAGAATTTTTTTTTTACAGGCCGAAAAATTAAGGCTGGCTGTTGGTAATCATTTTCAAAGTTTCTCTATAGGTGAGATGGCCCATTCAATCCATCTCGCTAAACAAAAACGAAGGCCATATAATAAATATTGGCAGGTACGGGCCATATAAGCAGGAAAGGACATCAAATCAAATTTAGAAAGGAAAACTTTGGACCTAAAAAAAAAAATTAGAAAGGACAACTTGGGGGGAAAAAATCATAAACTTTTTATACATGAAAAAAAAAACTAGTACTATATAACTTTTATACACATAAGCATTACTACTCTTTTTTTCTCACCAGTAAAATATTCAATTATAAACCTTTTCCTTTAAAATTTCAATATCAATATTTTTTTAAATAAAACTAATGATATTAAGATTAAAGAAATGAAAAGACACTTTATGAAATTGTAACACTAAACTTAAATAAATAACAGTATATATAAAAAGGACAACGGATATTGTTATAGTCTAGAAAGGATATGCGGCCCTATTGAAGCAATGTTGTGCAGATTGAAAGTACAGAACACATCAATGCAAAACAAAGCCCATAGGTTCAACAAAAGTTCCAAACAAAAGTACCCGACAGTACTTTGAATAGAATTGCCTCTAATAAGAGGATACCTATACTTTAGTCAAAAAAAAATTCCAAACCACCCACTACTACAAAAAAAGACATTTAACGGCAATTAAAATGAGCTTTTCAAGGCGGTTGTGAGAGCGACATTTATGTTATCGATGTAAAATGTGAAGGATTTTACAGCAGTTTAAAAACCGCCATGGTATGTGACTTTTCACGGCGGTCATATAAATAACCACCGTGATTTTTTTTTCTTTAGTTTACCTTTTATCCTATTGATCAAGATGAAACGGGAAAACAAAACCCCAAAGGAAGGAGTTTGAGAATCAATAAATAAATAACCTGTCACTAGTTAAAGCATTCTGATGGAACAAACGTAGATTCTTTCTTGCCGTAATAGCACCATTTAGCTTCACCTTCAACTACCAAATCAAAGTCACTAAGATTTAATAAAGATAAAATCAAAGATTCATATATGATAAAATTCATGAATTTCAGGCTGTCAAACTCTGATATACAAAATGAAGGAGAGAGAAATCGAATCTATTCAAATATTAAATTTAAAGAAGGAAGAGGAATAAAAATCAGATCTATTTAAACTTAGAACAAATATCATATTTTTAACCAAAAAAAAAAAACCAAACTACAAAAACTATAAAACCCATAGAAAGAATGGAGGAGAAAGGGTGAAAACTCACAAATAAGAATGAAAAGGATGAGCTAATGGCGACGGCAATAGTGACAATGACAGTGACAGCGACGGTGATGGAAGAACATGGCAGAGACGATAAAAGCAAAGGATAAACACCGGTACATGTAGGAGGGAGAAAATCAAGTGGGGATGGCAATGGGAGACTATGAGCTCTAACTCTGAAAAGTGAAAACTATCACGCGATAAACGAGTTTTAAAATTCTGATAGACTTTTTATAGCGGTTATTTAAAAAACCATCGTAAAAAGTATTTTTTTTGTGGTTTTTTATTTTTTTTATGACGGTTTTTTTAAAAAACCGCCGTAAAAAGAACTTTCTACTGCGATTTTTTGGATAACCTCTGTTAAAAGCGAAATTTACTTTTCTATAATTACAAAAATACTACCGTCATGTTTTTTATACTAGTGTTTTTTCTAATGACCGCCGTAAATTAGCATCGTGAAAGCTCTTTTTTATAGTAATGCCCCCACCCCAAAACAAAAAGTTCAATAAAATAATGAAGTAATTACTTATAATAATTTAATTGAACCAAATTAAAGGGTAATATGGAAAGATATTATTAAGTAAACGATAAGGTGTCCTAGTGATAACACCACCAGGCATCCACCATATTTAGATAAGATCTTGAGTCTAACCTTGATATGTTTATATGCATGCATGTGTTAAATCTATGGAATTTTTTTTTAAAAAAACTATAATATGTTTTCCATTTTGTAATGTATTATTCATAAAGGCTTATATTTTTTTTGACCAGCATAAAGGTTTATATTTTAAATTATCGGATGCCGCCAACTGTAATAATTTTCCTTTCGGCTATGATCATGATTGTAGCTTGGTGGTTTACCTGTGGGGGGGGGGGGGGACATACAATTTTAACGATTTAACTATTTTTTTTCATTAGGTATATACTATTTCCGGTCCTTAATATAAAACCTCTTTTGACTTTTATTTTAATTATAAATATAAGACTTCAATTCACCTTATCTCTCATATTTATCCATTTTTACCCATGATAGTCCTTTTAATAATGATAGGTCTAACTAATAAACTTGATTAGTAAGGATATTTGAGAAAAGATAACACATATTTATCATAAATAACTAACTTAACTTATTTTTTTAATTTATTTAAATTAGTCAACTAGTTTTTATATTTAGAACCGAATGTAGTATATAACTATAGCTGTTCATTAGCTTTTATCATAACTGAACAATATACAAAGCAATAGGTCGCATATGTGTTTTTTTCTTGGCCAACAATACAATGCATGTGTTATACCATTGAACTTCACTCCAAAACAAGAAAAACAAAAACAAAAAGATGGGAACTCGATATGAACTTCTTTATTAATTCTTACTGATTTTCTTCTCAGTTTTGGAATATATATTTGTCAAATTTTAAATTATTTTACTCTAAAAGTATTTTGTATGACCACACACAATAATGCTGTCCGAACTTTGCGTTGTTTTCTCGTAACACAAACACCCTTATCTCAGTTGTATGGGTAAAAAAAAAAAAACCCTTATCCCGTTGTGATGTTTTGTTGAATTGTATTTATCTATACCCAATGAAGAATAAAAATATTAGATTGTATATTTTTTATTAAATGAAGCTTAATAAAACAATTTAAAAGCAACTGAAAACTTGGTTAGAGTGAGTTCGATCGTTTTTAAATTTAAAGAATTGTCGTGGTATTTTAAAACTAATGGGAAAGTTAGCATCTTAATATTGAATCTCAATATTATTATGAGGAGATGAATATAATCAAATATTTTTTTAACCCTTTATTTGATTCAATATCGATCTTAAATGGTTTGGATTTGATTTCTTTCTTATTTTTATTTATTCAAAATAATTATTTTAATATGTATAGAATCTAAAATAGAGATAATCTATCAACTATCATTTTTTTCAAAATATAGTTTTTCCATTTAAAAATAATTAGTTATAAATTTTAAATTTGGACCGTTCAAATCAGATATAAACAGCCCAAGTCTAATGAGCTTAAGGTGCTCATCAAAGTGATGAGCACTGAAACTGGTTCCTTAAATATGATAACTCAATTCACTTTACCTCTCATCTTTTTGCAAAATATCCCTATTAATTGTAAGGATTTCTTTTTAAGAGATAATTCCAATAATTTAATACATATGATTGAAGAGGATAATTTAATGAGACCAATACACATTTATTACAAATAAATAGGTTAATTAATTTTTATAATATCCTCAAATTAGTTATCTAACTCACATATTAAGAATCGGAGCTAGTATATTAGAACGTGACACATAAACTAACAGATGTGAAGTTACAAACTTCCAAGGATTAATTACAAAATGAAGTAAACAAGATTATTTTAATACATACAATGCACGACATCGATGGTAAATACCTAAGGACCAAATTTATGTTGTTATTTGAATGGTGTTAAATATCTTTTCAGTTGTAAATTTGCATTATTTAAATGATGAATGTGTTAGTGAATCAAAATCACTTGAAGGAATCACATTTGAAGCTTTCACGAAAGAAGCACTCTTTGTGATTTCTCGCATTGGCTTGTTTGTATATATCATGATGTTATACACCCATGCTCCTGCCACTGCTCCGGCCACCGGCGCTGTCATGTACACCCATATTCCTTTATATTGGCGCCACACTATTGCCGGCCCTAAGCTTCTCGCCGGATTCATGGACGCCCCGGTCACCGGCCTATCACACAAATAAATACACTAAAAACAATAAATTTTGAATATATAATATCTCTTTTCAAACATTGTAATGAGATCTGTGTTTAAGTGAAGATTATTAGTATTTGGGATAATAAAGATGATCACCCGGATTTGATCAAAAAAAAAAAAAAGATGATCACCCGGCAAACATCACATTGAGCAACATGGTTGACCCTACCGCCAGACCAGCCACCTGACTCATCTGCACAGTTCAAAATCACATAAACACAAATAAAAATCTTAAAATAAATTATCATTCAAAAGCAATTTCTAAGCAGCATATCAGTATATACATTTAATTAATTAACGACGTTTAGTTCATTTTAGTTCCATTCTTTAGTATTTCATCAAAGGCTAAGTATATTATATTCCCAACCCCATTATTCGCCAAGCATCTACGTACGTATCAGAAAAGTTAATCAACCCAAAAATAAGAAAAGGAAAGAAAAAGAGAATTCTGATATTTAATTACCGTTTTGTTATCTGTGGCCACACCACTGGTAGAATACTTAACAAGCATGATGTAGAAGGTGATGATGAACTCAACCACAAAACCTTGAAGATGCGTCCCAGATAATAGTGTTCCTGCGAAGTGGTCATGGGTTCCTGTGAAAATGAGCCTCAGAGTCCCGCTCGCAAGAATGGATGCCAGAATCTGAACTGATATATAAGCCGGTACCTGCAACATCAACGTAACATGAATCAAAACAAACCAACATTAATACACGCATGTTATTTCATATGAGACATCGAAAATAATGAAGGTAATTAAGGTGGTTGACCTGTATGAGGGGGAATCGTCCGGTAGAAGCAAAAGCGAGGGTGACGGCGGGATTGAAATGGGCGCCGGAGATGTGACTAACGGCGTAGACGAGAACTAAAACGGCGAGACCCCAAACTACGGCAATCCCAGTAAGCGTTATTTTGTTGCCGTAGCCCACGTCCACCACCTCGGATGCTTCGCCTGCAAACATCAGAAAGAATGTCCCGACGAATTCCGCCACCAACTGTAAATTAAATAGATATATTAGCGACTTTCTGCAGATAGAAAGTTTGAGACTTTAGAAAGAGGAGGAGGAGGAGGAGGGACCTTCTGCAAGAAAGGGACCAAGAGGCAGACGCAGGAATCTTCATTATTATTGGATTTGCCATTGACGTTCAGAACAACCTCATGGGTTCCTTTAGTTGCAGACGCCTCAGCCATCACCGATTATCACAGATCGACGACGGCGGATCAACAGAGAGTGAGAGTGAGAGTAAGAGTATGAGAGGGGGAGGAGGAAGAGGCGCCAATTTATGGGCACGGAAGAGTCCAAGAAGGCTGGGGGATGAAGAATTTGAGAGAAATGGGTTTGGCGATTTTTCTTCGAATGGATGAAGGAGACTTATTTTATAATTCCCATTGGAGAAATCGTTGAAGACTCTCAAAAGAGTTTCATGTTCTTTGTGGAGTTTTCTGAGGCAAACTGATCCACATGCTCTCAAAAATAAAACAAATTATCAGGATGCTACAACTTGTACTTAGCACAATGCTAGAAACTAAATCATGGTTTCTATCACTCCAACTTTCAAGATTTAGAAAATATTTAGATTAACTTTTTAGAAGTGATTTTATGATATATGAGATAAGTATGTAAAAAAAAAAAATGTTGTCTAGCTTGCATGTAAATACTTGTGAGAAGTTGAAACAAAGACCCCTGACACATGAGAGAAGTTGGTTTACAATTACATTATAACAAGTTTCTGTTTCCTTGTTTTTCTTTTTCTTAAAAAACAATATGCCGCCACCCAATCCTCCAATTATCTTGGTAAATGAAAAGATAAGCAACAATATTCCAAGGCTATCTTAATATATTAGAAACTTATTAGCCATCAAGATTTTAGAAATCTTATTATCCATGAGGTGAAAATCTCTTAGCTCTACAAACTCAATAAACAGAGAGCAGGGGAGCAACAATCTCTAGGAAAGATATATGAGAGAGTCGCCAGATAAGATGACTAAAGTCATCATATATATATATACATATATATATATAGAGAGAGAGAGAGAGAGAGAGAGAGTGGTGCTGCTTAAATGAGTACTATCTCCAATGTAAATTATAAGACCTTTATTTGTAGACTATAAATAAGGTTTTATAATCAGGACCGGAAGTAGTATGATCATTATTAATTCCTTCGCTTTGATCATTTTCTCATGCAAGCGCATAGTGTTCTTCACGGCATATATGCCTATTATATGGCATCGTATTGTAATGGGAAGCCAAGACATTGGTGGGAATATGATGAGTTACTCACTAAGCCATAGAATTGAGACCCTTTTGCGAATATGCTTCGATACGTTGTAAATGCCTTTTATATTTTATGAATCAAGTTTCCTATCTCTCTGTCGGTGGCGTTTGTGTTTAATGTCGTTAGGTTATAGGAGCCTATTGCAATGGATCACGAGGTTCAATCTACATACTCATTCAGTTTTTTATTATAAACATTTGGAGCACATGTTTCATAATACATAACATGTTTTGTCTAAAATGTTGCCACTGAGGCAATTGAATTTGCTTTGCTGTCGACAAACTTAATGTCCATCCAAGCAATTCTCCAAATCTCTTGAGGATTTGCCAGCCTTAACTTGATAACCGGTAGTATTGGGATGTTAATAATATGGGCTGATCGTAGGTTTAAATTTAGTGCTGATTAAAAATAATTATGAGAAAGTGATGGATGGAAAAATAAAAAAGAAACAAAAAGAAACAGCTGATGAAAATAGTAAATAAATAATGAAATGAATAAAATAATAATAATGAATGAATCAATGAATAAGAAACCAACCAAGATAATCACGCACTGGAAAAGGATTTTGTTCCCTTCATTGGGTGCATGGGGCCTAGACTATCACATTAGGTCAAGTCACTCCAATAAAAAAACACTCCTCCAGTCTTTAATATAGGACTCAATTGTTGAGTTGGTTTTGGTCCTAACTGTAAGATTTATTTATCATATTTAACAATTTTCTCTAAATTATCCTTATGGATACTCCGTCAACTATAATTAAGTAAAAAAGGGAGAGGGGTATTAAGAAAGATGATTATGGTGTCTTAGAAAAAAACATGTCACATTTCTTATAATTAACTAACTTACCTAACTTCTTTAATCCAATCAAAGTAGTTAAATGGGTTTTATATTAAAGACCGGAAGAGTAATATTTTTCCCCTTTATTCATTGTCTAGTTAAATTTCATAATGACATAGGGATAATCTCTATTTCAGCTCACGTATCATTCATGCCATAATTTGGGATAAGTGCTCTTAGAAACAGGTCATATGGCGTGTAAGATTCTCAAACCTATTACTGTCACTCTTGGTACTCTATCTATACAAAATTTACAGAGTACTGTGTGTAAAATTTATACAGATTCTTCTTACTAATAAATTTCTAATGAGGGATTCTTTTCCCCCCAATTTTCTCTTCTTTTTTTTTGTGGATAATTAGATGCTGCCGGCCATCTTATGTTATTTGAAAGAAAAAAGGGACAAAGGAACTTGGTTTCCAACAAACCATCAAGTTCTACTCTGTTCGAAGAAGTGTTGGAAATTGGTGTGACAGAAATCATACTGAACCAGAAAGGGTGAGTGAATCAGATATGGAGGACAGCGGCACACAGCAGCCTTTAAGGTATGAATATAGAATGATTGGGAATTACAAGTCCATCATGGATAGATGCAGAAAGAGCTGACTGTACCATAGGGCCAAAAGGGCTCATGTTTCTCATAACTACGTACGACATTATTCTTGTCTCAGAGGTTCCTCCAGAGGGCATGGAGTTTCCGATACAAGATTTGGCAACTCATGATCGCTTCTTTTGTAACCATAGGAATATGATGCTCCTCAGGAATCTGTTTTGCTGAAAGTTGTGCACAAACCAGTCTCACCAATGGCTCTGCAGAAAAAAGGAGACGCAAAAGTTCTCCCCAGCTGGTAGAGCAACATTTGAAGTTCTCCAGATCATCAATAGAAGTTCCTCGCACATTTGGGGGATCCTCACTATCATTCCCCTCTCACGCTAGCCTCTAGCCCAGTCACAGTACAATTCTGGTTCTGGTGACTAGTTATTTTTCCAATTTTGACAAATTGTAGTTTGGGTTTGGTGAGTTCTTCTTTAGATATCAAGAAGTTATGATTCAATTTTTGACTAGTTTTTAGAATGATCTTTGAATGTTGATGGCTCATTCCTCAAATTTTTATAAGTTATGTTGTATCCTGTCCATGTCGTAGGACGTTTCAAAGTGTAGGATATTTTATGTTTTTAAAATATCTTTGCATTTAACATAGGACGTTTCAAAGTGTATTTTTCTACAACTGAGAAAATAAGTCCACTTTTCATAATATTTTGAAATAAAATTGAATTTCCATTAAAAAAAAGTTTGAAATTATTAAATCATAAATAAGGAATTTTTACAAAAATATATTGTTATTTGCAAGTTTAGTATTGTCAAAACATATTAAAATATTATTACCAAACTTGATTTTAAATTTAGTAATTTTGAGCTTCTTCCTTAACAGCCTGCTATATGTTAAAAGCATCCTATGTTATGGAGTGAAATGAGTAACTTCAAGGAAGTCAGCTTATTAAATTTAACAAAAAGTTACAGCACTTTTTGAAATTATTTTTATAAATCAAAGATAACATTTCCCACAAGAATTAACTATTTACCATATTTAATTGTAAACAAGGACAAATTAGGAAAAGAAGATTAATGTCCTATATAATAAGTTACCAAATGAAGTCGCCCGTTTTCCAGTGCTACCTAAATACTTCCTCCTATCCTTAGTGTAAGACATTTTTAAGAACAGGTAAGTGATCTTTATTGTAAGTTACCAAATGAAGTCATAATTACATTTTTTAAGAGTTCATATTTAAAGTTAGAGATACAATGTATATTAAAAAAAGTTAGGGAACAATTTTCCTTTTTAGGAGATATAATTTATAGTTTCAAATATGAATAAATTTAAAAATTTGTTCTATTTTTAAATCAAATTAACTTAATTAGCTCTCCTTAGTTACGATGAATAAAATTTCCCTTTGATAAGGATAAAAGATTATTAACAAACACAAACTTGCATTTTGCATTGAGGAGGGTATATTATTATTGATGTTTATTGTTATTTATAGCTCTTCTAGGGTGTTTGGGTAACCTCAAAAGTACTTTTCTACAAATTAAGGTAAACTCCTCCACATATTTACTTCCTATATCGTAAAAGCATTTTTAAAATCATGTTTTTATTTCTATCCAAACATCCCTTTCTTTTTTGTATGAAAAGGGTTTGGGTGAGTTAAGTCTTAAGTAAGACTAGAATATGCTTTCAATTGAACTTGTGGTCTTACAAGTCATAAGTCAACTTTACACCAACTAGACTAAGGGCCTGTTTGGGATCATGTTTGGGGTCCCAAACGTGCATCTCAATAGGCAAAAGCTTTTTTTATGTTTTAGTATATGTTTGGAATCACTTATGTGGAAATGAACTTTTTGGACCTAACGAGCAGTATCAGTAAAGCTATTTTACGTTACTTTTAAAGAAAAAGTTCCTTCCTGCCGTGGAGAGAGAAGATGTACAAGAGGGAAAAAGACAAAATGGGATCCATCTTTGTACTATAAAACATAAAAAGATAGAATTTCTCTTGAAAAAAAGGCCAATAACTTAATTAATTTAATTATTATTTTTTAAAAAATTTATCAAATTGTATGTATATATGATAATTTCTCTAAAATACTTATATGTTCTTAATCTTTTTAAATTAGTTAATTAAATCTTGGATAAAAACTTATGTCCTTTTCAACCATTTTATATCTAAACCTCTTTTTTATTATTTATCTAAACAAGTTTTAATTTTTCAAACTGACTTTTTAGAAATATTAATCCAAACATAATTTTATTTTCCTTACCTCTTTTAAAATAGTCACATTATATATACCTAATATTAGATATGTACTATTTAATAAAATTCATGTCCTTTTAAGTCATTTTACATCCAAACTTATTTTTACATATATCATCCAAACAAGTTTCAATTTCTTAAACTGACTTTTTTACAAAACCCAATCCAAACATAAATCATATTATATTATTTGACTTCTATAAAAGTCAGATTGAAAAAAAAAATTACTTCTACTACCACTATCCCAAACACACCCTAATTATTGTTGGCAA